GGCCTTAAGGCAACATTCCTAGATTTAGTTAACTGGCTTAGATGATGATGCCTGAAGTAGGTTGAGAATTTCCTCCCACTCAATGGTACATATGTCATTGCAGCTCCACAACGCTCTGACGAGGACCAGTCTGGTGGCAGATCCCCCATTGTTCTCCTTCCACTTGGCAAGCATGTATACGATCTGCATGTACAGCGAGAAAGGGTGTGCAGCTTTTATTTGCTCCATTTGAATGAGAGAATGTCCAAGTTCTGCCCCGAGGACCTCAAACCCAAAACCGATATGTCTTGCCACAAGATTGAGATCTGCTCTTGAAACAGGAATCTTTAGTGATTCCTCGTCAACATCGTATGGCAAGTTGCGATGTGATGAATCTAGGAAAACATGTTTTCATTAATATGTGTAACATTAAATGGAATCTTGCATGACAAAATGATTTGAAAAATGCTACATGAGCAGTAACCTCATTTGAGTATCTTTCGGAACGACTACAGTGTAGCTTGCATGAAATGTAATATTACAAACACAGTGCCTTCATCTAACAAGTCGAACAAGAAATGTGTTATTTATAACGAACCTTGTCCCTCTTGATTGTGGTTAACCGGCTCAGTGTCTAGTCGCTGTAATGGAAATGTAAAGAGTATTCTAACTGTAAATATGGAATTCTTAATGAACAAAATATACGTGTATATTGTTCAGTATAAGTGAGTAAGGTAAGAAGGGTTCATGTTATAATAGTGAGTGTATTTAAAAGAATTACCAAAATTCGAAAAAATTCCATTACTTCCCAAAAGTATCTAGTGTCCAATTTTTCAATTTCGCACATCAAATCATCATTTGCCCATAGAAACCGGCCGATGGAGAGGGTTACTGAGAGAAGATCGTGTCTGCACATTATGCAACTCATCTGCTGTTGGAGACAAATTTCACTATCTTTTTAGGTGTGAAGCACTTCAACAACGACTTCTTTACATCCAAAAGAATTGTTATATCTGGCCAAATATGTGTTAATTGCGTAAAACTTTATCACCTAAAAATCTTACCAGATTCATCGTACATTTGAACACATTATTACGTTAAGGTGTCAAATATTATTTAGTTTTTTAATTTTATTTTTGTATTTGTTTTATTGAGGCTTGTTTACCCTCTTGATCTGCATTGTATATTATATGTTATATATATATATATATATATATATATGTACTCTTGTACCACCGTTGGTGTTTTTTCAGAGAAATAAAACTGAACTGATAGGTTAACAGTATTTCATATATATCAAGACATGGGGCACGGAATGACACGGAATGCCGCAATTCGCTGTGCAGAGTTGCATCCATTGGTGCCTATATGTTTCTAGGTATTGTCTGCGCCATATCCCTGCTCTGGGTAAACGTTTGAGGCCTGTATCACTTCCAGATTTCCTCCCACACTAAGTCCACACTCCGTGATATAACTGGAATACTGTCCAAAGTGGTGTTAAAACAATTCACGCACTTAAATTAAGGCTTTATCAATACGTGTCAACTTGGTGAGGGAGGTAAGACTGAAGTTATTACTAATAGGCACACGAGCATCACACCCAATTCAAATTTTGCCATTGTGGAATTGACCTAATACAGCTTTGGTTATGTAAATATTATACTAAACCTCAAAACATTAACAGGTAAAGGAAGCAATGGTTATTTAAGAATGTCTTAGACCTACCTGATACCGGCCTCGAGGCCAACATCGAAGAGTATTTCCCATTTTAAATGTATGCAATATTACTGCATCTACTCCTGATATGGATTGATCACTTATAAAGTCTGAATGAGACTACAACCAATCTACACCTTGTACTTATAGCGGTTAGAAAGGGTATTCTTCCCCTTCGACGACGGCGAGTATCGCTATTGACGAGAAATAGCGGATTTCGGATTTCGGATCCCGGATACTAGTCTAGTGAATTGCATGTGTAGTGATGGTATAAATAAGCGTTCGATAGTGAATGTAATCGTGTTACATTAGATTGTCTACTACGCGATTTCATGTTTGCGTACATGAATCATTAGTATGTTTCATGTCATATGTACAATACAATTCAGTTACTTGTTTAGTTGCTTATCTTAATGATCGGCTGTAGAGTAAGCTTTAATCACGCCAATACCTGTCTTTGGGTACTTAATATGAGTCTGAAGGTCACAGGCCAAGATTGCTACTTTATAAGACAACATTTTAAATACTATCACACATATCATCCTGTCCTGAAATGTTGAAACTTAAGACCTGCATAATTAATCAACAAGAACAAAAATCATTTCAGTTACGCAGCTGTAAGCTGTAATATCATTCACATTATATATATTTTTCTACTACAATTTCATGATCGTCCACGTCATCATAAAGCATAATAAACTACATTTTATAATATATTGGATATAATTAGATTGTCACATTGAAGGCTATAATATAATATTTCTTCACATAATACATTTGTTGGTGATATTTATCTTCCTATGCTTCGCTGCTTGCAATATTTGCAAACATCACCTGTAGTCAAAGGATTTTAGTTTTCCGAACTTCTGGTCACTGCACACTTTTGTACAAGGTACAGCGGGTTTCGGATTTCGGATTTTCAGATACCAGGCAATGTTACTGGGAATGCAGTGGCAAATATTATAGGCATTAAATCCATGTATATAATAAAACGTTTTTCATTTACATGTCTATCTATATCACAGAAGTTTATGTATCTGAGGCTATAGTCTGTTGCCTGACGTCAAACGTTTCTTTGTTGTTCTGCTTTAGGACATGATAATGACATGAATGTGTATAAATGTTTACTGTGAACACCGAGGCGTTACAGCTCGGCGGTATTCATTGAGTGTACCCGTATTCAGGAAGCCAACCGTCAAGTCGTATATCAAGTGCCACGTCACTACAGTCCTAGTTAATCTTTTGTTATTCGTTGTTCAGAAATGGTGTGAGGACATAGCCACACAGCAGACATGGAGTAGATAGAGCTATGGCGAGGGTAGACAGAGAGGTGGCAGCTCCGTACTTCACGGGGAAGAACAAGGCACTGAAGCTCACTGAAGCGTTGGAGATACTGGAGAACCCTGATGACACACGGGCTTTAGTAACACCCCCTGCTAAACCCCATGGAGGAGACGGGTACTTGTACAGGGTGGAGGCAGACTCGGCGGAAGGTAGGTTAAAGAGTGCATGTCTTGACATGTTTTAACATTAATAAAAATGCATACCTCTGATGAGTATCAATAAAGGGAGGGTTAATAATGAAATAAGTAATAATAAAACACTAAATGTGATTATCGGCATCATTTATTGTCAGGTGTCAGGTTAAGAGGCGACTATGCTTGTCGTAAGATGCGACTAAAGAGATCGGGTGGTCAGGCTCGCTGACTTTGTTCATGCATGTCATCGATCCGAGTTGCGTGGATCGATGCTTATCATATCAATCACTGGATTGTCTGGTCCAGACTCGATTATTTACAGACCGCCGTCATATAGCTGGAATATTGCTGAGTGCGGCGTTAAACAACAAACAGACAAACGAAACAAAACAAAAATGTAGCCGCTATTGGACGGAGGGTGGTCATTGTTTCTAATATAGTCGTGGGTTCGAACCTCAGATTCGTCCGTAGTGATTCGAGGCTTGTAAACGTCCACGACCTACGCCATTTTACGCCACTACCCCCACTTTACCAAATGTTAACCGAAATACTCATTAAAGCGGCCTGAACACCAACTCACTCACTCATGCTTATGCCTACACAATGCAGAGATGACCTTCTTGACCCACTGATCCCTATGATAATATACAAATTTAGTTGTCCTGTATGACTGAACGTTCACATACTAGTATGCTGTGATCGTGGTGTCAACGCGCATGTGTTGACGGGGAAGTTAGCTCAGATTGAAGACGAAGAATACGTTGAGTCCAAACTTCTTTAGTCAGAAATAATACAAACAAATACAATTACTGATAGAAATATTTCGAGCAGAGATTCCAACTCAACAACTACAAGTGAAGTCAAGCAAGCAGGCGTATCCTACTCGCGGCTGTACATACAGGTGCTGTCGGAATACCAGACTAACTAAGTAAAGATGTAAACGGTGTCTAGCCGGGAGAGCCACATTTCAGAAATGGCTATTGCCGGTAGAGCCACATTTTCAGCTGAGTGCATTTCACCTATTCCAGCGGGTAATTAATTAATCCGATTACCGATACCTTTAAATGAGTGTCCCACATTTAAATTACTAAGCGTGGTGTTACTTACTTACTTACTTACTTACTTATATTGGAGATTTAACGTGCGCTTTCCGACTGCAAGCGTATGTCGCACACGGGCCCGGCCCGGCCATTTAATGTGTTTCCAAAAAGGGGAAAGTGAGTTTGTGCAACCCAGGAGGGGGGCTTTAGGGGTTGCTGATATAGTAATTTTGAAATTTGGAAAGAATGCCAAGAGTGGGTGGGGGACGAACTAAGGGAGCTGTGTGTGTTGGGTGGTTGTTAGATTAGGTAGTTTTGGTTTTAATATTTTATTTGGGGTTTAAATGCGACTAATTAGTCCTGTTTTAATGAGGTATATGCCTAAGGCTTTGAATTTTTCTAATTTATTTTGTGGATTTAGGATTGATTCTAGTGTAAGTCCCGTTTTAAGATTTAGGGTGGTCTGTAGTGTTGTTCGGTGTGTTTGGTAGTGTGTGCAGTGAATGAGTACGTGTTCTGGTGTTTGTTGTTTGCAATGCGGGCAGTTTCCTGTTGTGTGTATATTAGCTATTTTACGGTGATTATTTAGTTTGGTGTGGTCTGTTTGTAGTTTAGTAATTATTCTAGGTCTAGAGTTTACCACTTACAACTCAGTTGGACTTTGAACGTGCAGCTCACAATGCCGTGACTGATGTTTTTCTTGGGACATTAGTTAGAGGGTGTTTCTTTCACTTCACCCAATGTATCTGGAGGAGGGTACAGAAAAGAAGGTCTGGTGATGGACTATATGGAAGATGAGGAGGTGAAGAAGCTGGCGAGAAGAGCTGCTGCCCTCCCTCTAGTACCTCGTGACAAAGTGGATGATGTGTGGCTTGATGCCATCGCTGACTCTCCTGCTGGCCCTAAAGTGACTGCCTTCATGGACTACGTGACAACCAGTTGGTTTCAAGGAGGGGCCTTCATGCCAGAGATTTGGAACCATTTCGAAAACCAAGGCCACCGTACCAACAATCACCTGGAAGGGTGGCACAGCAAGATAAAGAAACTTGCCAAGAAGTGCCAACCGACCATCTACGAGGTAGTGAAGCTATTTCAGCGAGAGCAGTCACTCAAAGAGGTTACAGTCCTGAGGCTCTCTCACCAGTGGTCAGAACCTCACGAAAAAAGAAGTACAAGACAATCGATGCACGTATTGCGTCCCTCAAGATCCAGCTCCTGAACCAACACCTGAGTGAGATGGACTATGCTGACCACGTGGGCGACCCCCTTTCTTCTGCAGTAATGACATTAAATCCATTATGCTATTCATATGCTATTCATATTCATCAATGTAAAGTTTTGATGAATATGTTACTGTTATCCTTGTTGAATAAAAAATGAGAAAACAAGACTTGTTTTGTTATATACGGTAACCTGTTAGAATCACAAAGCATGTTTTGACAGCATAGCCGCGAGAGCGACATCGACTGTAAATGGAGAAATGACCTCACAGAAGTCAGTGGCAGGTTGAAGTGGTCACGCCTTAGCCCGGATGTTCTCGGCGAAGACCAGTGCAAGGAGACGTATCACAGACTGGTATCTGCTGTCATAGTAGGTGCATATCACATGAAGACGGACATCACAGAGTTTGTTGACACCCTCTATATGTACCCATCACATGTGATGAGTGACAACGCCATGACAGATGACGACGATGGGACAGATCCTCAGATGTGCAAGGTGGGGCCCCACAACATACAGAGGAATCATCTCCTCGATCAAACAGCATGGCTTGGCGATGAGGTAATTTTCACGATTTCGTAGCTTATGTTTTGCTCTTTATGTATTATATAATTTAATTCTGAAAATTCTTTCTAAAAGTTTAACATTACTTGGACAAATCAAAGGTACAAAATCGACCAGGACAATCTTCCTTCTCGGTCGTGGTCGGTAGGCCATGTCAAATAATGATATCAGGAATAACATTATTAAAGATGAAAATGGTACAATATTGATAGATGATAAAAAAACATTTGTTCGAATAGTTGAAATTGCTCACAGGTCAAGTGGTATTAACTCGCTCAATCGTTATTTGAGCAGTTAGGATATATGTTGCCATGTTTTTCTAAATTGCTGGTTGTAACACGTGACAAACGGGTTTCGCATACAGTAAACTACGGTTATAACGAACTCAAAGGGATTGCTAATTTTAGTTCGTCATAATGGTAGTTCGTTATAAGCATATATACAGCATAACTACAGCAGATAGTCGGGACCAAAAAAGTAAGTTCGTTATATCCGTCAGTTCGTTATAAGCGTGTTCGTTATAATCGTAGTTTAACCTCCATTGCAGGTGATGAATGCATACATGCATGTCCTGAAGACCACGTCGAATAGGATCCACAGCTGCCACTGCGCTGTACTTGATTCCTTCTTTGTCAACCATTGGGAGAAAGACGAGTATGACGTGCACCCCTGCAAGGTATGGACGAGCATAGTCATGTACATTGTATAAAGGGATGAGTAAAGTACTGGTATTAGGTTTTCGTCCAAAGATGGAAATTAAAGAGACATTTGAAGATCTTCGATTCGGTTATGGATCCTTGTTTAGCATCTAATTTAGGCTCTATGAGATATGAGGTCGGTTTTGGAGACAGTTCATTGAAGGTCTAGAGCAGCAGTTTTCCTTTTTTCAAGAATATCATCACTGGACATATGTCAACATGCTATGTGCAGTAAACTACGGTTATAACGAGGTTTAATGGCCGCTTTGAACAGTGTTCTAATTATTTCACATCGGTCAGATTAATGTGGGAGGAAAGCAAGAAGTGATGCAGGTTTCAGACATTAACCACTTTAGTTATTGAGTTTGAAATGTTCAATATCATAGCCATTTCAACATAAATATCATACGCATGTATCCAAATCAGAGGGAAGTAATCGTATGGATATGCTAATATCAGTAAACTTGATCAAATGGAAAAGAACTTATTGCAAATTATAATACAGTAGTCTGTAGATAGACATACGTCTATGTGGTTAAAGAGCATCAAAGAATCTTGCTTGATCAGGGTAAAACATTCAAGACCATATTATTTTCCTTTTCACCAAAACCTTTACTGTAAATAAAAGCGACATAACCCTTTCCACATTCTAGCTTGTCCCCCATCTCAGTGGAGCTCCTTTTTTAATATACATGTATGTGCTTTCCTTTTTTGGAGACCAGGCGTTAGTCTGAAAAGCATTAAAATGTTTGGTTTGCATCAGTGACAAATACTATGCAATTCCATGTTTTGACTTTTGTACAATAATTATGTCTCTGTTTCTCGGGCGACCGGTTGACTTGTCTTTGCATGTGTTTGTGACGGGTGCCACCGGTGGACAGAATATGGTCACCTTTTTGCGAACTGGTATTGTCACTATTTGCCAGTGATTTATTAGCACATGCTCGTGATATAGTCGGTATCATTCAAGGTGTTTGTTTTAATTATGGCAATGATTTTGCGGATTTATTTTATGTTAGGAGGAACTTGGAACTTACACGTGGATCCTGATGCCAGTGAACATGCCACTGAATCAACACTGGGTGCTTCTGGTCGCCAATGCCCAGGATGGAACAGTGGGCGTGGTCAACTCTAAGCCTGTCCTTGATGTAGGGGACAAACTTATACAACATTGGAGGTAATTTGAGGGCGTGGCCAGCTATATGTAGATTTAAACCTTTATCATCCAAAACTGATATCACTTGGGTGAGATCAAGTGATGTATATATACTGTAGATATTGCTGCAACATAAGTGCATCACACTGTTTTGAAGACCATAGTGACGTCATTGTTACCATGACGTCACATCACTAATTACTGCTACTGAAGCTGTTAGCAATACTTTTTACACTTAAGACACTGCTTATAACTGCTACAAACTGAAACTGCTGGCAGAATGATGTTGGATGATAAATTTAATCTCACCCTTGTGTCTTTTGATGTCAAATATATCAACACTCGTTGATATTTATTACACTTAAAGACACTCGGGTGAGATTCTCTATGAACAACACTGTAGGTGGGTGGGCCGAACAGGTGATGTGGTCAACTCCCAGCCTACAATTGATGAAGACTACTGCGCTGACCAGAGCTGAGGTACACACTGATGAAAGTCTGCTACCGATTCTGTAACAAAAGCTGCAATCTGCCTCAGCTACAAACGTGTAGTTAATCAGTTCTAAATGTATAACGCTAGGTTGTAGGTGGGTTTGAGGCAGCGGAAACAAATAGAGGTCGTTAACTTTATCCTATATCTATTTCAGAAAATATACACGCAGTTTGAGGAGAGGTGATGGGTCAGTGGTCACATGGACAAAGACAGAATATCCAGTACTGAGTCAAAGAGATGGACATAGCTGTGGCGTGTTTGTGAATATGGTACGTGAACTAGATCAGAACAAGATATATAAATCTCTTTCATAATTGTATAATATCAAAAATAAGAGCAATACACAACAAAATATGATGATTTGCTACTATTTAATATACAGTCTAACTTTCTCCACATTTACTCTATTTTCACCACATCTTCTGAAATTCCACCCATCATGGGAACTATATTACAAATGTCATTCGCATGAGCATGCTCTTGGGTACTTGCAATTTAAAAGTGTCATGATCAAAACTGAATAGTTCTAGTAGTATCTTAACATACAATATCAGTATTAATATACTGATCCGTTTCTACGATATGTGTTTACTTAAATTTCCATAGTTCTTACAAGTTTTGGGATACAGTACGTTTGTATTAAAAACAAAAGCAAAATGACAATGTGAACTTTTACGTTTAAATATAGTATATTTCCATGTGTACAATGTATTCTGGCACTCTAAATCGAGATTCAGCGGGATCATGCTGTTGGAAAAGGGCTCTGAGTGAGTGAGTGAGCGAGCGAGCTTGGTTTCACGCCACCTTTAGCAATGTTCCAGCAATAGCGCGGCATGGGACCCTAGAAATGGGCTTCAAACATTGTACGCGGGAATTAAACCCGGATTTTCGGCGTGATGAGTGAAAGCTTTGACCACTGGGCTACCCCACCCCACTGACCTGATATGAGACCGTATACCGTCAGTAACAGCCATTTTGGATTTTCATACACCCACTTCACATATTTCACAAGAATATCCTGGTACAGAAATCCGTGACTTTATTACTAAAATTATAGAGGAAAAAGGCTCACAACAGAGGTCACTGATTTACAAATACACACTGATTTACAAATACCAACGTCATTGAACATAATAAAAGATGACGTCACGAACAAAAAACGCGACGCCAATGACGTCACATAGCAGTAGACCAGATAGAAGTCCATTGTTAGGGATAAGCGGACTGCTATCAAGTTACAGTTGAAACCAGACTCCTGTTAACATAGGTCAGTTTTATTATAATTCTATCTTGTTTAAACGTTAACATTTAGTACATTATTTATTCCATTGTTAACGTTCGTGATTACATTAGAGGGTTGTATCGTAAACAAGCCCGGCCCAATATATTTCTCCTTACCTAATATGACACCGTTAATGCCACTATAGACACCTTAAGGGTCAAACACTGAAGAACAGTGCTTTATTTTTTTGTCAATTATTCGTCACCAGTGGCTCTATATTGTTACAGGCAGCAGAAGCTGTACTATCGGAGGTGCCCATCAGTGTCATGAGAAGCTGCCACACTGTCTGGTACAGGAAGTACATCTGGCGCAGGTTGCGAGAATATGCTGATGAACATATACCGCCTGATACTGACACACATAGTGAGTATAAATATTGTTTTCCAAATATACCTCAAAACCCAAATACATACAAAAGACAAAACCCATTCCATAAACATTTATGTATATCATGATATTGATGGCAGTGTACACTTAGTGTTGATACTGCATTGAATATAAGAGAATTTTCTCATGGCCTCAGCTTAAACATGTGGAATACAGTCCGGGCAACAAGACTTGACCATTCTTTTGGTGGGTTCATAAATTGTTTTATGAGGTTAGTTTTATTAGTCTGGGAAGGGTTGCCTTTTTCTATCAGTGAGATGAGATTTCTCCTAAGGTCTGTATACAGTGGGCATAATAGCAAGAAGTGATGCATGTTGCATCAACACTTTCTTTAGCCTATCTACACTTTCTACATCGCCACCACCACTCACTCACTTATCCCATGAACTTGCACCATCTCCCATATCCCTCCCCAGTTATGACAAGGTTGTGAACGTGTTACTACTCTATATCACTCTGATTGCCTGTCATAAATCCATGTTTTCAATTACGCTGATAGATTACTGTGTCTGTTAGGAAACAGTAAACCTTAACCAATAATTAACTCAACAACAAACAAGGGACAATAGCCCTTTCACATTTAACAACTTTACACATTTATGTTTATGAATCACTACCAAATAGTATGTTCACGACAAGGTGAACATATCCTGCCAATAGCAATATATATCCCACAACAAAACTAGAATGTCCAAACCCACGTACCACTGGGCGTACTTATGTCAGCAAAATTTGTTATTATTCGTTTCCCGCTAAATCTAGCATTGTCGTACCACGTTTATGTACTGTAGGACGCAAGTTAGGGACAATTCATAAAGCGGTTCAGTTTATATGTTTGTTTAACGCCCCAATCGGCAATATCCCAGCTATATGACGGCGGACTGTAAATAATCGAGTTTGGACCAGACAATCCAGTGATGGATATCATGATCATCGATTCACGCAATCGGGACACGCTTAACCAAGTCAGCGAGCCCGACCACCCGATCCCGTTACAAGCATAGTCGCTTTTTACAGGCAAACATGGGAAGCTAATATTTGTTACATGTGTTGTGCTGAACTGAATATCAAGCATGTTGATAGTTAGGTTTTTAAGTAGTTCAATACTACTGAATAACTATATATCAGACAAATTGCATTAGAATGCTTAGAGACATTAACGTGAGTTATTAGATTGACACCCGCTGCTGGCTTGTTTCCAGCAATTCGAAAAACTAAAACCAGTAGCGAATCCACTGCTCCTGAATTAGCTATATTACGCAGAGTCATTCGCCGGTCGGTCATCACCACAACGTGGGTTCTCGGGATCAGTTCTGGTGTGGCTGACTTCACAGGCCTTCGAGGACGGGGGTCGTCTTCAAGGCACTCCCTGTTACACTCAAACTCTGCTGCCTAACTCGTTATGTTGGCAAAGAAGGGACATACTTCCCTAGTGCTGTATTCATATCTTCTTGGATGGCTTTTGGCGTTGTTATATAAATCCTTTTTTTCTGCAATTCCACTTGACTGCACGTTCCTAAAATGTCCATTTTCCTAAAGTCACAGACCTCTGCTTGTTTTGATTACTTTTGCGCAATTCCTTCTATCAGAGGCTCAGATATCAGTCAACCATCGGTGCTGACACATTGCTGACAGAATATTGTCATTCGGTCACTCACTCATTATTCACATGCTATTAATGATGAAGTAACGACTGGCATTATTTCCATTGTTGTGAAATATAAAAGCAGGTACATCATACAGGTAACAGGGTCTATTGATTTGTTTTGTGTGTATTATTTCTTGTTATTCAAGTACGAGTGAATCCTGGCAAACTGGGAAGTGTCCTAACCTTTATATTCGCAATGGGCAAAAACTAAATATTGATATTGCAAATAGAGGATATTCAGCCAATCACGATTTGTCAGAAAAAATAACCTAATGTAGAGGAGTTGGATGTAGGTAATTGTAAAGGGAGACAACTATTCAAATATGTTCGTAAATTACGTGTTTTGACTTGAACCATATGTTCCCATGTTTCGCAGATGAGCAATTGACTTGCCTTTGCATATGTTTGTGATGTGTGTCATCAGCAGGACAGGATACGTTCGCCTTTTCGTGGACACCTGATACCATTACTATTTGATAGTGATTCAAAAACACATGCTCATGAACGGCCAAAGAGGATCATCAAATACCTCATAAGTTTATATGTTGGCAAATGGTGTTTATTGTGGTTGATACATAGATTTACATAGAAAACAGCATGTACAAATGCCAAGGTATCTTAAATGTCTATTCAAGTAGTAGACATTAGTAAGCGTTAAATTATAATAATGATTAAAGTGTTTATTTCAATTATGAATTAACCTGTTTGGTTCTGTATTTGAAAGATCGTTGTCCTTCTTGCAGTGCTTGAGTCTCCATGTGAAATGCTGACAAATAATCCAGCGTCAACGAATGCCAGAGCGTTTGTGTATACAATAGTCAATATGTCGACCAGCATAGATGATACGAGATACAGTTTGCATAAAGCAGCCAGCCTCGGTGATATTAGACGCATGCACTTGTTGATAGACCAGGGGGAGGATGTAGCAGGTACCGATGACCGAGGATGGACGCCTTTGCACTGTGCCTGTGAAAACGGTCACGTTGAAGCTGTCTCTGATCTGGTTTCCAGGAGGACGGGCGACGTACAAAATAGAGCTCAACTTACATTGTACAATCCTGTCTTGGGTACGGAGTATATGTATCTAGCAGGAACATATCCACTCCACATTGCTTGTTTAAATGGACATGAGAATGTAGCGCACATTTTGATCAATAGCGAGGCAAATGTTGACGACAAAAGTGAAAATGGAACAACAGCTCTTTTTCTTGCTTCTATTAACGGACATGAAGCTGTAGCTGCACTTCTGATCAAGAATGGTGCAAGCATTACAGCTGAGGACAAGGACGGATGGACGGCATTACATCTAGCTTCTCAGAATGGACATGAATCTGTAGCCGCACTTCTGATCAAGAATGGTGCAAGTGTTACAGCAGAATACAAGGACGGATTGACGACATTACATCTAGCTTGTTTGTATGGACATGAATCTGTAGCTGCACTTCTGATCAAGGATGGTGCAAACATTACAGCTGAGGACAAGGACGGATGGACGGCATTACATCTAGCTTGTCAGAATGGACATGAATCTGTAGCCGCACTTCTGATCATGAATGGTGGAAGCATTACAGCTGTAAATAAGAACAGACGGACGGCATTACATCTAGCTTGTCAGAATGGACATGAATCTGTAGTCACACTTCTGATCAAGAATGGTGCAAGTGTTACAGCTGAGAACAAGGACGGATGGACGGCATTACATCTAGCTTGTTTGTATGGACATGAATCTGTAGCCGCACTTCTGATCAAGAATGGTGCAAGTGTTACAGCATTAACGACGCATGGAGTGACGGCACTACATCTAGCTTGTCAGAATGGACATGAATCCGTAGCCGCACTTCTGATCAAGAATGGTGCAAGTGTTACAGCAGAATACAATGACGGATTGACAGCATTACATCTAGCTTGTCAGAATGGACATGAATCTGTAGCCGCACTTCTGATCAAGAATGGTGCAAGCATTACAGCTGAGGACAATGACGGATGGACGGCATTACATCTAGCTTGTCAGAATGGACATGAATCTGTAGCCGCACTTCTGATCAAGAATGGTGCAAGCATTACAGCTGTAAATAAGAACAGACGGACGGCATTACATCTAGCTTGTCAGAATGGACATGAATCTGTAGCTGCACTTCTGATCAAGAATGGTGCAAGTGTTGCAGCAGGAACGACACATGGAGTGACGGCACTACATCTAGCTTGTGACAATGGGCATGAATCTGTAGCTGCACTTCTGATCAAGAATGGTGCAAGTGTTACAGCATTAACGACACATGGAGTGACGGCACTACATTTAGCTTGTCAGAAGGGACATGAATCTGTATCCGCACTTCTGATCAAGAATGGTGCAAGCATTACGGTTCAGGACAAGGACGGATGGACGGCATTACATCTAGGTTGTGAGAATGGACATGAATCTGTAGCCGCACTTCTGATCAAGAATGGTGCAAGCATTACATCTGAGGACAAGGACGGATGGACGGCATTACATCTAGGTTGTGAGAATGGACATGAATCTGTATCCGCACTTCTGATCAAGAATGGTGCAAGTGTTACAGCAGAATACAAGGACGGATTGACGGCATTACATCTAGCTTGTCAGAATAGACATGAATCTGTAGCCGCACTTCTGATCAAGAATGGTGCAAGCATTACATCTGAGGACAAGGACGGATGGACGGCATTACATCTAGGTTGTGAGAATGGACATGAATCTGTATCCGCACTTCTGATCAAGAATGATGCAAGCATTACAGCTGTAAATAAGAACAGACGGAAGGCATTACATCTAGCTTGTCAGAATGGACATGAATCTGTAGCTGCACTTCTGATCAAGAATGGTGCTAGTGTTACAGCAGAATGCAAGGACGGATTGACGGCATACATCTAGCTTGTCAGAATGGACATGAATCTGTAGCCGCACTTCTGATCAAGAATGGTGCAAGCATTACAGCTGAGGACAAGGACGGATTGACGGCATTACATCTAGGTTGTCAGAATGGACATGAATCTATAGCTGCACTTCTGATCAAGAATGGTGCAAGTGTTACAGCAGAATGCAAGGACGGATTGACGGCATTACATCTAGCTTGTCAGAATGGACATGAATCCGTAGCCGCACTTCTGATCAAGAATGGTGCAAGTGTTAAAGCAGAATACAAGGACGGATTGACGGCATTACATCTAGCTTGTCAGAATGGACATGAATCTGTAGCCGCACTTCTGATCAAGAATGGTGCAAGTGTTACAGCTGAGGACAAGGGCGGATGGACGGCATTATATCTAAGTTGTCAGAATGGACATGAATCTGTAGCCGCACTTCTGATCAAGGATGGTGCAAGTGTTACAGCAGTAACGACACATGGAGTGACGGCACTACATCTAGCTTGTGACAATGGTCATGAATCTGTAGCCGCACTTCTGATCAAGAATGGTGGAAGTATTACAGCTGTAAATAAGAAAAGACGGACGGTATTACATCGAGCTTGTCAGAATGGACATGAATCTGTAGCCGCACTTCTGATCAAGAATGGTGCAAGTGTTACAGCAGAACACAAGGACGGATGGACGGCATTACATCTAGCTTGTCAGAATGGACATGAATCTGTAGCCGCACTTCTGATCAAGAATGGTGCAAGTATTACAGCTGTAAATAAGAACAGACGGACGGCATTACATCTAGCTTGTCAGAATGGACATGAATCTTTAGCTGCACTTCTGATCAAGAATGGTGCAAGCATTACAGCTGTAAATAAGAACAGACGGACGGCATTACATCTAGCTTGTCAGAATGGACATGAATCTGTAGCCGCACTTCTGATCAAGAATGGTGCAAGCATTGCAGCTGAGGACAAGGACGGATTGACGGCATTACATCTAGCTTGTCAGAATGGACATGAATCTGTAGCCGCACTTCTGATCAAGGATGGTGCAAGTATTACAGCAGTAACGACACATGGAGTGACGACACTACATCTAGCTTGTCAGAATGGACATGAATCTGTAGCCGCACTTCTGATCAAGAATGGTGCAAGCATTGCAGCTGAGGACAAGGACGGATAGACGGCATTACATCTAGGTTGTGAGAATGGACATGAATCTGTAGCCGCACTTCTGATCAAGAATGGTGCAAGCATTACCGCTGTAAATAAGAACAGACGGACGGCATTACATCTAGCTTGTCAGAATGGACATGAATCTGTAGCTGCACTTCTGATCAAGAATGGTGCAAGTGTTGCAGCAGTAACGACACATGGAGTGACGGCACTACATCTAGCTTGTCAGAATGGACATGAATCTGTATCCGCACTTCTGATCAAGAATGGTGCAAGCATTACACCTGTAAATAAGAACAGACGGACGGCATTACATCTAGCATGTCATAAAGGACCTGAATCTGTAGCTGCACTTCTGATCAAGAATGGTGCAAGTGTTACAGCTGAGGACAGGGACGGATGGACGGCACTATATGTAGCTTCTCATAATGGACATGAATCTGTAGCCGCACTTCTGATCAAGAATGGTGCAAGTGTTACAGCAGAATGCAAGGGCGGATGGACGGCATTACATCTAGCTTGTCAGAATGGACATGAATCTGTAGCCGCACTTCTGATCAAGAATGGTGCAAGCATTGCAGCTGAGGACAAGGACGGATAGACGGCATTACATCTAGGTTGTGAGAATGGACATGAATCTGTAGCCGCACTTCTGATCAAGAATGGTGCAAGCATTACCGCTGTAAATAAGAACAGACGGACGGCATTACATCTAGCTTGTCAGAATGGACATGAATCTGTAGCTGCACTTCTGATCAAGAATGGTGCAAGTGTTGCAGCAGTAACGACACATGGAGTGACGGCACTACATCTAGCTTGTCAGAATGGACATGAATCTGTATCCGCACTTCTGATCAAGAATGGTGCAAGCATTACACCTGTAAATAAGAACAGACGGACGGCATTACATCTAGCATGTCATAAAGGACCTGAATCTGTAGCTGCACTTCTGATCAAGGATGGTGCAAGTGTTACAGCATTAACGAGACATGGAGTGACGGCACTACAACTAGCTTGTCAGAATGGACATGAATCTGTAGCCGCACTTCTGATCAAGAATGGTGCAAGTGTTACAGCTGAGGACAAGGGCGGATGGACGGCATTACATCTAGGTTGTCAGAATGGACATGAATCTGTAGCTGCACTTCTGATCAAGAATGGTGCAAGTGTTACAGCAGTAACGACACATGGAGTGACGGCACTACATCTAGCTTGTGACAATGGTCATGAATCTGTAGCCGCACTTCTGATCAAGAATGGTGCAAGTATTACAGCTGAGGACAAGGAAGGACGGACGGAACTACATCAAGCTAGTCAGAATGGACATGAATCTGTAGCCGCACTTCTGATCAAGAATGGTGCAAGTGTTACAGCTGAGGACAAGGACGGATGGACGGCATTACATCCAGCTTGTCAGAATGGACATGAATCTGTAGCTGCACTTCTGATCAAGGATGGTGCAAGTGTTACAGCATTAACGAGACATGGAGTGACGGCACTACAACTAGCTTGTCAGAATGGACATGAATCTGTAGCCGCACTTCTGATCAAGAATGGTGCAAGTGTTACAGCTGAGGACAAGGGCGGATGGACGGCATTATATCTAGGTTGTCAGAATGGACATGAATCTGTAGCTGCACTTCTGATCAAGAATGGTGCAAGTGTTACAGCAGTAACGACACATGGAGTGACGGCACTACATCTAGCTTGTGACAATGGTCATGAATCTGTAGCCGCACTTCTGATCAAGAATGGTGCAAGCATTACAGCTGAGGACAATGACGGATGGACGGCATTACATCTAGCTTGTCAGAATGGACATGAATCTGTAGCCGCACTTCTGATCAAGAATGGTGCAAGCATTACAGCTGTAAATAAGAACAGACGGACGGCATTACATCTAGCTTGTCAGAATGGACATGAATCTGTAGCTGCACTTCTGATCAAGAATGGTGCAAGTGTTACAGCAGAATACAATGACGGATTGACAGCATTACATCTAGCTTGTCAGAATGGACATGAATCTGTAGCCGCACTTCTGATCAAGAATGGTGCAAGCATTACAGCTGAGGACAATGACGGATGGACGGCATTACATCTAGCTTGTCAGAATGGACATGAATCTGTAGCCGCACTTCTGATCAAGAATGGTGCAAGCATTACAGCTGTAAATAAGAACAGACGGACGGCATTACATCTAGCTTGTCAGAATGGACATGAATCTGTAGCTGCACTTCTGATCAAGAATGGTGCAAGTGTTGCAGCAGGAACGACACATGGAGTGACGGCACTACATCTAGCTTGTGACAATGGGCATGAATCTGTAGCTGCACTTCTGATCAAGAATGGTGCAAGTGTTACAGCATTAACGACACATGGAGTGACGGCACTACATTTAGCTTGTCAGAAGGGACATGAATCTGTATCCGCACTTCTGATCAAGAATGGTGCAAGCATTACGGTTCAGGACAAGGACGGATGGACGGCATTACATCTAGGTTGTGAGAATGGACATGAATCTGTAGCCGCACTTCTGATCAAGAATGGTGCAAGCATTACATCTGAGGACAAGGACGGATGGACGGCATTACATCTAGGTTGTGAGAATGGACATGAATCTGTATCCGCACTTCTGATCAAGAATGGTGCAAGTGTTACAGCAGAATACAAGGACGGATTGACGGCATTACATCTAGCTTGTCAGAATAGACATGAATCTGTAGCCGCACTTCTGATCAAGAATGGTGCAAGCATTACATCTGAGGACAAGGACGGATGGACGGCATTACATCTAGGTTGTGAGAATGGACATGAATCTGTATCCGCACTTCTGATCAAGAATGATGCAAGCATTACAGCTGTAAATAAGAACAGACGGAAGGCATTACATCTAGCTTGTCAGAATGGACATGAATCTGTAGCTGCACTTCTGATCAAGAATGGTGCTAGTGTTACAGCAGAATGCAAGGACGGATTGACGGCATACATCTAGCTTGTCAGAATGGACATGAATCTGTAGCCGCACTTCTGATCAAGAATGGTGCAAGCATTACAGCTGAGGACAAGGACGGATTGACGGCATTACATCTAGGTTGTCAGAATGGACATGAATCTATAGCTGCACTTCTGATCAAGAATGGTGCAAGTGTTACAGCAGAATGCAAGGACGGATTGACGGCATTACATCTAGCTTGTCAGAATGGACATGAATCCGTAGCCGCACTTCTGATCAAGAATGGTGCAAGTGTTAAAGCAGAATACAAGGACGGATTGACGGCATTACATCTAGCTTGTCAGAATGGACATGAATCTGTAGCCGCACTTCTGATCAAGAATGGTGCAAGTGTTACAGCTGAGGACAAGGGCGGATGGACGGCATTATATCTAAGTTGTCAGAATGGACATGAATCTGTAGCCGCACTTCTGATCAAGGATGGTGCAAGTGTTACAGCAGTAACGACACATGGAGTGACGGCACTACATCTAGCTTGTGACAATGGTCATGAATCTGTAGCCGCACTTCTGATCAAGAATGGTGGAAGTATTACAGCTGTAAATAAGAAAAGACGGACGGTATTACATCGAGCTTGTCAGAATGGACATGAATCTGTAGCCGCACTTCTGATCAAGAATGGTGCAAGTGTTACAGCAGAACACAAGGACGGATGGACGGCATTACATCTAGCTTGTCAGAATGGACATGAATCTGTAGCCGCACTTCTGATCAAGAATGGTGCAAGTATTACAGCTGTAAATAAGAACAGACGGACGGCATTACATCTAGCTTGTCAGAATGGACATGAATCTTTAGCTGCACTTCTGATCAAGAATGGTGCAAGCATTACAGCTGTAAATAAGAACAGACGGACGGCATTACATCTAGCTTGTCAGAATGGACATGAATCTGTAGCCGCACTTCTGATCAAGAATGGTGCAAGCATTGCAGCTGAGGACAAGGACGGATTGACGGCATTACATCTAGCTTGTCAGAATGGACATGAATCTGTAGCCGCACTTCTGATCAAGGATGGTGCAAGTATTACAGCAGTAACGACACATGGAGTGACGACACTACATCTAGCTTGTCAGAATGGACATGAATCTGTAGCCGCACTTCTGATCAAGAATGGTGCAAGCATTGCAGCTGAGGACAAGGACGGATAGACGGCATTACATCTAGGTTGTGAGAATGGACATGAATCTGTAGCCGCACTTCTGATCAAGAATGGTGCAAGCATTACCGCTGTAAATAAGAACAGACGGACGGCATTACATCTAGCTTGTCAGAATGGACATGAATCTGTAGCTGCACTTCTGATCAAGAATGGTGCAAGTGTTGCAGCAGTAACGACACATGGAGTGACGGCACTACATCTAGCTTGTCAGAATGGACATGAATCTGTATCCGCACTTCTGATCAAGAATGGTGCAAGCATTACACCTGTAAATAAGAACAGACGGACGGCATTACATCTAGCATGTCATAAAGGACCTGAATCTGTAGCTGCACTTCTGATCAAGAATGGTGCAAGTGTTACAGCTGAGGACAGGGACGGATGGACGGCACTATATGTAGCTTCTCATAATGGACATGAATCTGTAGCCGCACTTCTGATCAAGAATGGTGCAAGTGTTACAGCAGAATGCAAGGGCGGATGGACGGCATTACATCTAGCTTGTCAGAATGGACATGAATCTGTAGCCGCACTTCTGATCAAGAATGGTGCAAGCATTGCAGCTGAGGACAAGGACGGATAGACGGCATTACATCTAGGTTGTGAGAATGGACATGAATCTGTAGCCGCACTTCTGATCAAGAATGGTGCAAGCATTACCGCTGTAAATAAGAACAGACGGACGGCATTACATCTAGCTTGTCAGAATGGACATGAATCTGTAGCTGCACTTCTGATCAAGAATGGTGCAAGTGTTGCAGCAGTAACGACACATGGAGTGACGGCACTACATCTAGCTTGTCAGAATGGACATGAATCTGTATCCGCACTTCTGATCAAGAATGGTGCAAGCATTACACCTGTAAATAAGAACAGACGGACGGCATTACATCTAGCATGTCATAAAGGACCTGAATCTGTAGCTGCACTTCTGATCAAGGATGGTGCAAGTGTTACAGCATTAACGAGACATGGAGTGACGGCACTACAACTAGCTTGTCAGAATGGACATGAATCTGTAGCCGCACTTCTGATCAAGAATGGTGCAAGTGTTACAGCTGAGGACAAGGGCGGATGGACGGCATTACATCTAGGTTGTCAGAATGGACATGAATCTGTAGCTGCACTTCTGATCAAGAATGGTGCAAGTGTTACAGCAGTAACGACACATGGAGTGACGGCACTACATCTAGCTTGTGACAATGGTCATGAATCTGTAGCCGCACTTCTGATCAAGAATGGTGCAAGTATTACAGCTGAGGACAAGGAAGGACGGACGGAACTACATCAAGCTAGTCAGAATGGACATGAATCTGTAGCCGCACTTCTGATCAAGAATGGTGCAAGTGTTACAGCTGAGGACAAGGACGGATGGACGGCATTACATCCAGCTTGTCAGAATGGACATGAATCTGTAGCTGCACTTCTGATCAAGGATGGTGCAAGTGTTACAGCATTAACGAGACATGGAGTGACGGCACTACAACTAGCTTGTCAGAATGGACATGAATCTGTAGCCGCACTTCTGATCAAGAATGGTGCAAGTGTTACAGCTGAGGACAAGGGCGGATGGACGGCATTATATCTAGGTTGTCAGAATGGACATGAATCTGTAGCTGCACTTCTGATCAAGAATGGTGCAAGTGTTACAGCAGTAACGACACATGGAGTGACGGCACTACATCTAGCTTGTGACAATGGTCATGAATCTGTAGCCGCACTTCTGATCAAGAATGGTGCAAGCATTACAGCTGAGGACAATGACGGATGGACGGCATTACATCTAGCTTGTCAGAATGGACATGAATCTGTAGCCGCACTTCTGATCAAGAATGGTGCAAGCATTACAGCTGTAAATAAGAACAGACGGACGGCATTACATCTAGCTTGTCAGAATGGACATGAATCTGTAGCTGCACTTCTGATCAAGAATGGTGCAAGTGTTGCAGCAGGAACGACACATGGAGTGACGGCACTACATCTAGCTTGTGACAATGGGCATGAATCTGTAGCTGCACTTCTGATCAAGAATGGTGCAAGTGTTACAGCATTAACGACACATGGAGTGACGGCACTACATTTAGCTTGTCAGAAGGGACATGAATCTGTATCCGCACTTCTGATCAAGAATGGTGCAAGCATTACGGTTCAGGACAAGGACGGATGGACGGCATTACATCTAGGTTGTGAGAATGGACATGAATCTGTAGCCGCACTTCTGATCAAAAATGGTGCAAGTGTTACAGCAGAATACAAGGACGGATTGACGGCATTACATCTAGCTTGTCAGAATAGACATGAATCTGTAGCCGCACTTCTGATCAAGAATGGTGCAAGCATTACATCTGAGGACAAGGACGGATGGACGGCATTACATCTAGGTTGTGAGAATGGACATGAATCTGTATCCGCACTTCTGATCAAGAATGATGCAAGCATTACAGCTGTAAATAAGAACAGACGGAAGGCATTACATCTAGCTTGTCAGAATGGACATGAATCTGTAGCTGCACTTCTGATCAAGAATGGTGCTAGTGTTACAGCAGAATGCAAGGACGGATTGACGGCATACATCTAGCTTGTCAGAATGGACATGAATCTGTAGCCGCACTTCTGATCAAGAATGGTGCAAGCATTACAGCTGAGGACAAGGACGGATTGACGGCATTACATCTAGGTTGTCAGAATGGACATGAATCTATAGCTGCACTTCTGATCAAGAATGGTGCAAGTGTTACAGCAGAATGCAAGGACGGATTGACGGCATTACATCTAGCTTGTCAGAATGGACATGAATCCGTAGCCGCACTTCTGATCAAGAATGGTGCAAGTGTTAAAGCAGAATACAAGGACGGATTGACGGCATTACATCTAGCTTGTCAGAATGGACATGAATCTGTAGCCGCACTTCTGATCAAGAATGGTGCAAGTGTTACAGCTGAGGACAAGGGCGGATGGACGGCATTATATCTAAGTTGTCAGAATGGACATGAATCTGTAGCCGCACTTCTGATCAAGGATGGTGCAAGTGTTACAGCAGTAACGACACATGGAGTGACGGCACTACATCTAGCTTGTGACAATGGTCATGAATCTGTAGCCGCACTTCTGATCAAGAATGGTGGAAGTATTACAGCTGTAAATAAGAAAAGACGGACGGTATTACATCGAGCTTGTCAGAATGGACATGAATCTGTAGCCGCACTTCTGATCAAGAATGGTGCAAGTGTTACAGCAGAACACAAGGACGGATGGACGGCATTACATCTAGCTTGTCAGAATGGACATGAATCTGTAGCCGCACTTCTGATCAAGAATGGTGCAAGTATTACAGCTGTAAATAAGAACAGACGGACGGCATTACATCTAGCTTGTCAGAATGGACATGAATCTTTAGCTGCACTTCTGATCAAGAATGGTGCAAGCATTACAGCTGTAAATAAGAACAGACGGACGGCATTACATCTAGCTTGTCAGAATGGACATGAATCTGTAGCCGCACTTCTGATCAAGAATGGTGCAAGCATTGCAGCTGAGGACAAGGACGGATTGACGGCATTACATCTAGCTTGTCAGAATGGACATGAATCTGTAGCCGCACTTCTGATCAAGGATGGTGCAAGTATTACAGCAGTAACGACACATGGAGTGACGACACTACATCTAGCTTGTCAGAATGGACATGAATCTGTAGCCGCACTTCTGATCAAGAATGGTGCAAGCATTGCAGCTGAGGACAATGACGGATAGACGGCATTACATCTAGGTTGTGAGAATGGACATGAATCTGTAGCCGCACTTCTGATCAAGAATGGTGCAAGCATTACCGCTGTAAATAAGAACAGACGGACGGCATTACATCTAGCTTGTCAGAATGGACATGAATCTGTAGCTGCACTTCTGATCAAGAATGGTGCAAGTGTTGCAGCAGTAACGACACATGGAGTGACGGCACTACATCTAGCTTGTCAGAATGGACATGAATCTGTATCCGCACTTCTGATCAAGAATGGTGCAAGCATTACACCTGTAAATAAGAACAGACGGACGGCATTACATCTAGCATGTCATAAAGGACCTGAATCTGTAGCTGCACTTCTGATCAAGAATGGTGCAAGTGTTACAGCTGAGGACAGGGACGGATGGACGGCACTATATGTAGCTTCTCATAATGGACATGAATCTGTAGCCGCACTTCTGATCAAGAATGGTGCAAGTGTTACAGCAGAATGCAAGGGCGGATGGACGGCATTACATCTAGCTTGTCAGAATGGACATGAATCTGTAGCCGCACTTCTGATCAAGAATGGTGCAAGCATTGCAGCTGAGGACAAGGACGGATAGACGGCATTACATCTAGGTTGTGAGAATGGACATGAATCTGTAGCCGCACTTCTGATCAAGAATGGTGCAAGCATTACCGCTGTAAATAAGAACAGACGGACGGCATTACATCTAGCTTGTCAGAATGGACATGAATCTGTAGCTGCACTTCTGATCAAGAATGGTGCAAGTGTTGCAGCAGTAACGACACATGGAGTGACGGCACTACATCTAGCTTGTCAGAATGGACATGAATCTGTATCCGCACTTCTGATCAAGAATGGTGCAAGCATTACACCTGTAAATAAGAACAGACGGACGGCATTACATCTAGCATGTCATAAAGGACCTGAATCTGTAGCTGCACTTCTGATCAAGGATGGTGCAAGTGTTACAGCATTAACGAGACATGGAGTGACGGCACTACAACTAGCTTGTCAGAATGGACATGAATCTGTAGCCGCACTTCTGATCAAGAATGGTGCAAGTGTTACAGCTGAGGACAAGGGCGGATGGACGGCATTACATCTAGGTTGTCAGAATGGACATGAATCTGTAGCCGCACTTCTGATCAAGAATGGTGCAAGTGTTACAGCTGAGGACAAGGACGGATGGACGGCATTACATCCAGCTTGTCAGAATGGACATGAATCTGTAGCTGCACTTCTGATCAAGGATGGTGCAAGTGTTACAGCATTAACGAGACATGGAGTGACGGCACTACAACTAGCTTGTCAGAATGGACATGAATCTGTAGCCGCACTTCTGATCAAGAATGGTGCAAGTGTTACAGCTGAGGACAAGGGCGGATGGACGGCATTATATCTAGGTTGTCAGAATGGACATGAATCTGTAGCTGCACTTCTGATCAAGAATGGTGCAAGTGTTACAGCAGTAACGACACATGGAGTGACGTCACTACATCTAGCTTGTGACAATGGTCATGAATCTGTAGCCGCACTTCTGATCAAGAATTGTGCAAGTATTACAGCTGTAAATAAGAAAAGACGGACGGTATTACATCGAGCTTGTCAGAATGGACATGAATCTTTAGCCGCACTTCTGATCAAGAATGGTGCAAGTGTTACAGCAGAACACAAGGACGGATGGACGGCATTACACTTAGATTGTGAGAATGGACATGAATCTGTAGCCGCACTTCTGATCAAGAATGGTGCAAGTATTACAGCTGTAAATAAGAACAGACGGACGGCATTACATCTGGCTTGTCAGAATGGACATGAATCTTTAGCCGCACTTCTGATCAAGAATGGTGCAAGCATTACAGCTGTAAATAAGAACAGACGGACGGCATTACATCTAGCTTGTCAGAATGGACATGAATCTGTAGCCGCACTTCTGATCAAGAATGGTGCAAGTGTTACAGCTGAGGACAAGGACGGATAGACGGCATTACATCTAGCTCTTCAGAATGGACATGAATCTGTAGCCGCACTTCTGATCAAGGATGGTGCAAGTGTTACAGCAGTAACGACACATGGAGTGACGGCACTACATCTAGCTTGTGACAATGGTCATGGATCTGTAGCCGCACTTCTGATCAAGAATGGTGCAAGTATTACAGCTGTAAATAAGAAAAGACGGACGGTAATACATCGAGCTTGTCAGAATGGACATGAATCTTTAGCCGCACTTCTGATCAAGAATGGTGCAAGTGTTACAGCAGAACACAAGGACGGATGGACGGCATTACACTTAGCTTGTGAGAATGGACATGAATCTGTAGCCGCACTTCTGATCAAGAATGGTGCAAGTATTACAGCTGTAAATAAGAACAGACGGACGGCATTACATCTGGCTTGTCAGAATGGACATGAATCTTTAGCCGCACTTCTGATCAAGAATGGTGCAAGCATTACAGCTGTAAATAAGAACAGACGGACGGCATTACATCTAGCTTGTCAGAATGGACATGAATCTGTAGCCGCACTTCTGATCAAGAATGGTGCAAGTGTTACAGCTGAGGACAAGGACGGATAGACGGCATTACATCTAGCTCTTCAGAATGGACATGAATCTGTAGCCGCACTTCTGATCAAGGATGGTGCAAATATTACAGCAGTAACGACACATGGAGTGACGACACTACATCTAGCTTGTCAGAATGGACATGAATCTGTAGCCGCACTTGTGATCAAGAATGGTGCAAGCATTACAGCTGAGGACAAGGACGGATAGACGGCATTACATCTAGGTTGTGAGAATGGACATGAATCTGTAGCCGCACTTCTGATCAAGAATGGTGCAAGCATTACCGCTGTAAATAAGAACAGACGGACGGCATTACATCTAGCTGGTCAGAATGGACATGAATCTGTAGGTACACTTCTGATCAAGAATGGTGCAAGTGTTGCAGCAGTAACGACACATGGAGTGACGGCACTACATCTAGCTTGTCAGAATGGACATGAATCTGTATCCGCACTTCTGATCAAGAATGGTGCAAGCATTACACCTGTAAATAAGAACAGACGGACGGCATTACATCTAGCTTGTCATAAAGGACATGAATCTGTAGCCGCACTTCTGATCAAGAATGGTGCAAGTGTTACAGCTGAGGACAGGGACGGATGGACGGCACTATATGTAGCTTCTCATAATGGACATGAATCTGTAGCCGCACTTCTGATCAAGAATGGTGCAAGTGTTACAGCAGAATGCAAGGGCGGATGGACGGCATTACATCTTGTTTGTCAGAATGGACATGAATCTGTAGCCGCAACTTCTGATCAAGAATGGTGCAAGTGTTACAGCTGAGGACAGGGACGGATGGACGGCACTATATGTAGCTTCTCATAATGGACATGAATCTGTAGCTGCACTTCTGATCAAGAATGGTGCAAGTGTTACAGCATTAACGACACATGGAGTGACGTCACTACATCTAGCTTGTCAGAATGGACATGAATCTGTAGCCGCACTTCTGATCAAGAATGGTGCAAGTGTTACAGCAGAATGCAAGGGCGGATGGACGGCATTACATCTTGTTTGTCAGAATGGACATGAATCTGTAGCCGCACTTCTGATAAAGAATGGTGCAAGCATTACAGCTGTAAATAAGAACAGACGGACGGCATTACATCAAGCTTGTCAGAATGGACATGAATCTGTAGCCGCACTTCTGATCAAGAATGGTGTAAGCATTACAGCTGTAAATAAGAACAGACGGGCGGCATTACATCTAGTTTGTCAGAATGGACATGAATCTGTAGCCGCACTTCTGATCAAGTGAAAATGTTGGAAACTCTCAAACACAGCCAGACCTACCCTTGGGAGATATACCAAAACAAGTTTCGCCAACTTATCCAATGACAATAACAGAATCCAACATACGAATGTGGAAGAAATGCCTTCTAACACACAATCACCGTCTGCTTGGGGAAAAACTAGCTTCAATGTCCAACAGCAAGGAAGTGAACAGTATTGCACAAGACTAGGCCATGGTTATGGTGATACTATAACCTTACAAGCGCCCACGTGTGTACTGGACAGTCAACCGTCAGGTTGGGTATCTAATATTCCCTTTACACACAGAAACCCCATCGTGCCAAGACCAACGACGGGACCCTTAAACATTGTTCCAATCGAGCCTCGAGGAGGTGTCGCCGGCAGTTCCAATACACAGATGAACTGTGGCTTCCCTACAACGACATATCCCCGAACAATACCAGCTGTTCCTCCACCATCTGATTTCCTTTCCGCTCTGCAACCGGATATGAACGCTTCCATGCCAGGACAAGTCATGTCTCCCTTGAATATCATCTACATTCAGAAACCGCCAGGAATTCCCACACCTTCCAGGACGTGGGCAGCCAATTCCTTTGACAGGAACGTCTCAGTCCCTAACGGGGCAGTACCAAGGACAACTGGGAATTCTCTGAACTTTCCATTGTAATTAACAGAAAGCACAATTTGGCTCATGCTTGAAGTATATTTTACACACATGGACAATAACATGTATTACCACAACAATAATGAATGCAAATAAATTATTGCTTTTCAATCGTTTTACAATTATATGTTATAATAATGTTGAGCTGTGGTCATGTATTTTGTCTTATAATCTCCGCCATATGTAGTTGAAAGTTTGTTTTGTAATCATAATGACACGTGTCAGACCTTGCAATCACATTTACTTGTTCAGTACACAGCTTAGAAGACAACATGGATTATTTTGTTTGTTGTTTTACGCCGCACTCAGCAGTATTCCAGCTGTATGACGGCGGTCTAAATAATCGAATCTTGACTATACAATCCAGTGATTAACATTATGCGCATGCTCCTCGATATTGGGATATGACGACACGCATCAACCAAGTCCGCGTACCTGAACACCCGATACATTTTGTGGTCTTCCTAAAATAAAGAGTGAGTTGGTTTTTACGCCACTTTTAACAGTATTCCATTTCGGCGTGTCAGCTTGATGTGGGAGGAACGGCCGAAGTGATGCAGGTCTGAGACATTTACCACTTCGGTGAAACCCATGAGCACGGGTATGGTGCTGACAAACCTAGAAACAAACCGGGCGAACTGGGATTCGAACCCACAATCATAGGTTTCTGGCGTGTCCAAGGGACGCAAATCTGCACAGCGAATCGCGGCGCCTTGGACGACTGGGCCACCCGTGCACCCTAAAATAAAGACGCTGAACTGGAACACTGATTTCTAATGTTATTAAACACATTTACTGGAATTACCCTTCTAACTGAGAACTTAAGGAGCTAAAATAAATTTAATGGAGATTGTCAAGGTTTGACCCCATTAAAATATAACTACCGCTTGGAGACATAGTTAGCAAAGGTTTTTGTCAAACACAGTTATTTGAGTCATGAGTCATGAGTCATTCATTCCAAAAGCTTTCAAAGTGCGCAAAACTAGTTTCAGTCGACTATAAATAACAGTCTTTCTGTCACTCTAGGCACTACATTATATCTAGAGCTATATGACAGCAGTCTGTATATGATCAAGAATGGACCAGACAAACCAGTGACTGATGGCGGTTAATGATGACACACTACTAAGTTACTGAGCCAGACATAAAGACATGTTCAAAATTCACAGTTTATGTGCGCTGATATCTTGTGTATATGCCTTCAAACATTACCTAGGCGTTCTTCCTAGAGGTGGGGGCATGGATGTCACAGTAGTCTGAGCCACCGCAATTCGCTGTGCAGAGTTACGTCCCTTTAGCGTGCTAAAAACACATAATCATGGATTCGAATATATCTGTTTCTAAGTTTGTCAGCACAATAACCTGGATCGTGGGTTTCACCAAAGCGGTAAATGTCTAAGACCTGAATACTAGTGTCTTTCGTCCTACATACAACTTGAATATTGTTCAAAGCGGTGTCAAAACCAACTCACTGTTTGAAAGGGGTATTGTGGTACGTGGTCCTATGCACTGCGCACAGGTTACAAATCAGGTGAAATTAAGCAACGTCGGTGGCGGAGAGTTTTTGGATGGGTGACTGTTCGGCAGCTTGGCTCCCGAAAGTTTCTAGGGCGTCTGAAGGACATGTAACACATGTGGCGTCTCCTAGGGCAAATGACTTTGTGCGAATTGTGCCTCTTTCCACCCAGCAGTGAATGGGTACCCGGTAGGATGAGATGGTAATGTGGTTCTTAACCTTCTAGCGCCTAACAGGCAGCTTTGTTTGTATACTCTCCATGGAGCTGAGAATGATTTTTGAGTGAACACTTTTCACTGTCTATAAATACCATGTTGAACATTTATTCTTCTTTTTTTGATATTTTAAATAAAACTTTAAATGATTTAACAGAATCGTATAAACATTTAATTTTCTGGGGAGAAGAGGTGGCCTAGTGGTTAAAGCGTCCGTTCGTTCTGGGAGTTCGATTCCCTTCATTGGTACATTGTGTGAAACTCAAGGCTGGAATACTAAAAATAAGATTGTGTTCTTTAATCTGATTGGTTGAAAAACATGATTTATATCAATTTGTCTGACTAATAATGTGACAGATTAATGTGGGAGGAAAGTCGAAGTGATGCAGGGCTTAGACGTTTACTACTTCGATGAAAACCATCTAAGCATCGATCCATGCAATCGTGATCGATGACATGCGACAACCACGTCAGCTAGCCAGCATTCCCGGTTGTGAGAATACTCTTAACCGCAGATTGGTGAAAAATATCTAGTTATTGTCACAGTGTATATATAGAATTAAGTGACTCCTGGTGTGCCATTATTCGTTGATTATTAAATGCATCATGTTGAGGCAAAACTATGTACAAGATGTAGGGACAGTTACAGCTTTGTCTTAATAAAACGAACGATCGATCAAAACGTGATGGTTATAAGTCTTCTTAATCAAAACCTTATTGCAATAATGTTTTAATTTGAAGTTTACACGATATACGGCTTTTCCATTGGGCGAGAGGTCGGTCACATGACCGCGAAATTGACGTTAATTAGTGTATGAACGACACAGTTTGACGTTCATATTTTTTTCACGAGACCGTGTTCTTGAAATGACGTAAACACTGAAGAACTACTTCCACATTCCTTGGGAAACCCCTGGGAATTCCCAGCACGAAAACATGCATAACCGTTCTTTCTATTCATTTAGAACCTTTATTCTTGGTCTCAGCGTTTCAGTATACATTGAGAAATGTCAGAGAGCGTGACTGCATGATTGTTCACGAATATACTCGCTACGGCCCATCCTAATGAACAAACGAAGAAATGCACATCTAAACTATCGTAGAATCGACTCGATCCTCATCCAGGCTGACACAGATCGTCTCCGGCAATCTATGAATTTACCATTTGTGTCTGTTTGACGCATCTTTATTCACATTTCAATGATCGGCCAGTTGATCAACGATGACTAACACATCTAACCGCCACAGGTTCATTAACAACTTCGGAAATCTCTCCCGTCACGTTCATCGGGTCGGCCATTTTGACGTCTTGTACTTGATGTAAATGTATTACGACGCACCGTCATTGTGACTGACTTACATTAGGTAGTTCTTTACAGACCTTTCTCATCTAATGAGGATATGATTTGAACACATGTGCTGCATAAGATGTTTCTGAAGAGCAAGTTGTGCATCCATACGCCCATGTCACCTCTTTTTGAGGAACTATTTTACTCCGCGATATAGCTGGTTGTTGTATGGCTGTCAGTGTAAACATGAAGTAACACGTAATAAATAAAATTGTGTTTAGATCTTTGGGGTAAGAAATTGTGATAATTTTT